ATTGTTCACCACCCATAGTCACTTGTTGAGATGGCTATTCAGTACAAATTGAATGAATAAATAATACCTTAGGACAGTGTTTTTCAACCTTGGAAGCTTGAAGATGGGTGGACTTCAACTCCCAGAATTCCCCAGCCAGCTGGCTGGGGGATTCTGGGAGTTGAAGTCCACCCATCTCTCTCTCTCTTTTTTTTAAAAAAATTGATTTATATGCCGCCCTTCTCCGGAGACTCAGGGCGGCTTACAATGCGCTAAGCAATAGCCTTCATACTTTTCGTATATTTATACAAAGTCAGCTTATTGCCTCCACAAACTGGGTCCTCATTTAACCTACCTTAGAAATGATGGAAGGCTGAGTCAACCTTGAGCCTGGTAAGATTCGAACCTGCAGAAATTGCAGGCAGCTGTGTTAATAACAGGGTGCATTAAACCACTGTTCTACCAGGCTCTTCAAGCTACAAAGGTTGAGAAACACTGCCCTAGGACAAAAATGTTCCAGAGGTTTCTAAGATCAGCTTTGCCCATATAGGTATGCTAAATTTTAACCCTCATTAGACCTAGCTGGCATTGATGTGAAGATAAGAAGATCTAAAACTTTTTGAGGGAATCAGGATGGGATAGGCTGTTCCAATATGCAAAGAATCATCTGTGTTTCTAGGGGTTTCTTCATTATCTTGCTTGATTTAATCAGAAGGCCATGTCATAAGCAGTCAGTGTATCAAGAACATACAGGAAGTCCTCAACTTACTTTCAACAAACTTTCTGTTTGCTAAGCAAAACGGTTGTTAAGTGAATTTTGCCTCATTTTATGACCTTTATTGCCACAGTTGTTAAGTGAACCACTGTAGTTGTTCAGTTACTAACCTGGTTGTTAAAGGTTTCCCCACTGTCAGAAGGTCGCAAAAGGTGATCACATGAGCCCTGGGACACTGCAACCGTCATAAATATGAGTTAGTTGCCAAGCATCTGAATTTTGTTCACGAGTCCATCAGAATGCTATACTATGGTGGGTTTCAAATTTTTTTTACTACCGGTTCTGTGGGTGTGGCTTGGTGGGCGTGGCATGGCTTGGTGGGTGTGGCTTGGTGGGCGTGGCAGGGGAAGGATACTATAAAATCTCCATTCCCTCCCCACTCCAGGGGAAGGTTACTGCAAAATCCCCATTTCCTCCCAATCAGCTGGGACTCCGGAGGCAGAGAATAGATGGGGGCGGGGCGAGTCAGAATTTTTACTACCGGTTCTCCGAACTACTCAAAATTTCCACTACCGGTTCTTCAGAACTGGTCAGAACCTGCTGAAACCCACCTCTGCTATGATGGTCATAAGAGTGAAAAAAAGGTCATTAGTCACCTTTTTTTCAGTGCCGTTGTAACTTTAAATGGTCACTAAATAAACTATTGTAGATTGAGGACTACCTGTACAAAAATTAAAATGCACACTGCAGTTGTTAATTAATAACACAGTGGCTAAGTGAACCTGGCTTCCCCATTGACTTTGCTTGTAAGAAGGTCCCAAAAGTGGATCACATGACTTTGGGACCCAGCAACGGTCATAACTACAGGCCAATTGCCAAATGTCTAAAGATCACATGACCATGGGGATGCTGCAATGGTTGTAAGTGTGAAAAATGGCCATAAGTCAGTTTTTTCAGTGCTGTTGTAACTTTGAATGGTCACTAAATGAACTGTTGGTAGTTGAGGACTACCGGTGCTTAACTGACTATGAAGATTGTAGCTACAGCTAGAAAAAAAAGAAAAGGGAGACTTGACTCTAAAACAAGAGGCTGGACATGATGAATATACAGAAGGGGCTCTTGAGGCAAGCAACGAGAACAGGAAATCTAATCTTCCATTTTTTTCTATATATAGTAAATGCCTCAAAGATAAGCACATAATGGCTTGTATAAATATATCTAAAATGTGTTTGCTAGGCACATATTTTCAATATGTTGTCATGATAAGAACCACATGTAGAACTTGAAGAGTGAAGCAAAGCTACATTGAGTGTTTGCCCCTAAGTAAAAGTTATGTGCAGTTTATGTGTGTGTAAATATTTAACTGGAAGAATGGCCACATGAGAACTACTTCAGAACAATCTTGGAGACAGGAAGCCACAAATTAAAGCTCTGAAATTTAGCATGCTTGCATGTCTACATAAATAAAACCAACTGGAAAGTCTGAAAGAAAGAAAGAAAAATACAAACGGGGGAAGGGCAGATCAGAGAGAAAATGATGTAAAAATCTCCTTGGCTCAGATAAGAGTATTAGAGCTGATTAAAACCTGGAATCACAGCCTGGGAATAAACAACCTTCTCAGCTTTAGTCTACATTCTGGAAAGTGTTAGGCCTGCTCTCAAAAATATTTATTTTCCATGTGAGCAGCCTCTGTCGTTCTTGGCAATATGGATAAATGTAATCTGTTGATTGTGTAAACCTGGATAAATGCCATAGCTCCTTCCAAGCTTTTAGGTGGTGGCCTGTAGGAGCTCTTCTGGGAGACCATCGTCAATTATATTTGTGCGGAATGCTTTGAAGAGTAGTCCAGTTTATTGGGGTATATAAAAAAGATGGCATTTACCAGTGGTTAAATAAAGAATTCTTCCTTTTTTGATGTACCCCATTTGGGGTTTTAAATACTGAATTCTGCAGTGGGAATAGGGGAAGTAGCCATACCTTCAACTCTAAGATAATAGAGGGGTCTAGGACAACTCACCATGACCAACTTACTGTGGCCAACTCGCCACAGGACAATTCAACGCTGTATTAATTATTTCATTCAGGTACTTTTGTTATTGGTGATCACGTTTTCCTGAAATGATTGTAATTTTTGCATTTCTTGCACTGACTTTTATTTTATTATTATTGGCCACAGTGCCTTCGAAATTAATTTAACTTTTGTATTTGTAGTTGTTCTTATTTCATGGGTGAGGGGATCATTCAAAAAAATTGCTTTCTGCATTTGCATCTCCTGTGGTTAGGAAATACATATAAGTAAGACTATCTATTTATCTGTAGGACTGGGTACGAGAAAACTGAGACGTCTCCAAAATCAACTTTAAAGGCATTTTAAATTGGAATTAGAATGAATGAATAATTCAGTCCACGCCCTTGGCTGTTCTGCTACCAAATAACAGAACAGAATAATAGAATAACAAAGTAGGAAGGGACTTGGAAGTCTTTTAGTCCAAACCCTGCTCAACCAACCCTATACCATTTCAGACATATGGTTATCCAATCTCTTCTTTAAAAACTCCAGTGTTGGAACTTCTGGAGGCAAGTTGTTCCACTGATTCATAGTTCTGAGTGCAAGGAAATTTCTCCTTAGTTCTAGTTTGGTTGTCTCTTTGATCAGTTTCCATCCATTTTTGTCCTGCCTTCAGGTGACAAATAGGTTGATCACCTCTTCTTTGTGGCAGCCCCTTAGATATTGGAACTCTGCCATCACATCACTCCTAGTTCTTCTCTTTATTAAACTAGACGTACCCAATTCCTGTAACCATTCTTCATATGTTTTAGCTTCCAGTCCCTTAATTATCTTTATTGCTCTTCTTTGCACCCTTTCTAGAAGAGTCTTTATTTTTTTTAAAAAAAGAAAAGATAAATTTTATCTAGAAGAGGAGGCATCCCTTAGCAGTGGCCAGATCTTGACCATGGAGAAATTTCCTTTTGCTAAAGGTCACTTTATACCATAGGGGTAAGAATGGTGCTTTTGAATGAACAAGGAGGGTCTCACGTGCAGGCAGTTCTCTTGCTATGATGGCTTTGGAGAAGGGAGAGAGACAGCCTGTATGCGTGAGAAAGAATTTGGAGCTGGAATGGGCAGGACAAGAGAGAGAATGGAGGGCTCCTTGGTGGAATTAGTGTAAACTTGTTGGGGAGGGCGGGTGCTGTCTTGGCAGTGAGCCTCACTTGTTATCTAGGGATCATCTGCCTGCGGTACAGAAGGAATGCCTGTTTGCCTCTACTTATGCTCTGCCTGAGAGGCTGTAAATAAAGTCAGTTTCCAGATTTCCAGTACTCTCTCACATAAAGGAAACTAAATCTCTGTAGTGGTAACTCTGGAACGCTTGATGGTTGGAGAAATGGGGGGGGGGTATGACTTGCTGAATGTGAAACTCTTAAGGATTGAAAAGGAAGTAGCTAATGCTGAAGAGCTTCTGCTCTGACTAAGCGGGGGAGAGAGGGGGGCATCTTGGATTTTTCCAGTGGAGCCCTGGCACTGCCACAAGGCAGAAGGAAGCAACTGCCTCAGACAGCTGGGGTTGGGTTGGTGGTGAGGTGCAAGGAGATAGAACTGGATCAACCACATTAGCTGTCCTGCACAATTATCTGTGTTGCGATTTATTTTATTTAAGAATAAACAGGATACCACGCCATCAAACACCAGCATATTGGCCATCAAATGTTGGCCTTGGAATCTTGGAAGGGGAGGGGATCAGGTGCTTTGGACACAATACGGTAAATAAAGTGTCTGTGTGTGTGTGAGAGAGAGAGAGAGTGTGTGTGTCTGTGTCTGTGTCTCTGTGTGTGCATGCGTGTTATATACAATCTGTAGGCAAAACGTATAGGCAATCCTTCAGAAACTGTAGGAACAAAACATAAATTGCTTTAAAGAGTTTTACCCCCATGTTGAATTGCTTCCAAAATTCAGGAGCCAAAGCAGCTCTTTCTACAAGGACATTTAGCAACCTTGGCTGCAGGTTTAGACAATCCCACATTGAAATAGTGATGGAAACTAAGACCCGAGTTGCCATGGCCAGATCTGTGGTTCTCAGAAATGACATGTAATAATTTGAAAGCCGAGGGAAAATGCAAATAGTCTCTGCTTCAAATGTAAGGCTAGGATTATCTTTTCTGTGCTGGATGGGGCTGAAAGATGGCTTGTCCATTATGTAAAAGCACCCAAACTTGCAAACCTGTAATTTTGAAGGATATGCAGTCCTATTCAATACAAGTTGAATCTCTATTCCCAGAGGAAAGTAAGGAAGGATATCAATATAATAATGTGTAAATGCAAAACTTATTCAGTGAGCAGTTTATTAGGAATGGCTCTCTCGTCTGGATCCATTTTCAATTTGCCCATTTTGAATTCCTCACTGTGTCCTGGTTGAAATTCTTACCCAGAAATCACTGGAAAGGAGCAAGAGAGTCAAAGGTCTTGATTTGAAAAAGTTGAAGACAATCAAATGCCATTCCCAATTCTATGCTTTTCTTATTGGTTATAGAGAAAATCCTGCGAGGAATGCTGTTCTTTCCTTCTGCTAAATGCAAATAATTAACCTAGAGCAGGAATAATTCTCCTTATTTCTGTACTGGTGCCTAAATCTTCACCTGACATTGCTGACAGCAGCCATCATTCTAAGTAAACACGCAATGCAGACTTTCAGTTGCTGTACCCACACTGCAAGCAATCTTTTTCCATATAGAGATTTCCCAAATATTGCCTTATGACTTTTGTAAGCCACTCTGAATATTTCCACAAACACAAAGTTGAATTTAATAACAAGGCAATTATTTTTTCTTCTTACATCAGCATGTTTGTTCACAAAATCCTTTCGGCTTTACCATTAGAATCTATTTTGGGAAGCATTATCATAAGTCATAGAGCGAGGGATGTCCTAAAGACTAGTTATTTATTTTCTGGGTGTTGTGTCTTGTGGTAGGGCTTTTAAATGGAACACTTAATCAGCCAGGTCTTGAATAGACCCTATAGTGCTTACTGAAGACGTTTGCCTCACAGATATGAAGTTGATAACATGGTTACTTCACTTAGCTAATAATGGCTGTTAACACAAGCTGGTTCATAACCCTCAGAATTCAGCCCAAGGTGTCAACTATTTTTACACGCTCAACTTCAAAGGCTTACTACCTCTGAAAGTCAGGAAAATTCAACTGTTATGTATTGGGCTGTTATCCAAGGAAAAGGAAATAGAAGAAGAACCTAAACAATTGGCCTATTAAATGACCTATCAAATCCCTTCAAATTCACACTTGCTGTGATTTACTAATACTGGTGACAAATGTGATCAAAGGCATGCTCAAATTGTAGCATAACATGAACGAAAGAAGGGGAAAAAAGACACCAGCGTTTTAGCTTTGCCTGTTCACTGTAACAGTATTTTGGTGTGCATACAGTATATTACTGAATCTTGGCATTTCCAAATAATTTTAAATGGTAACACCTTACCAAAATTTGTCCCTACCCTTACAAATTGTTGTGTTGTAGTTATATCCTACCATTCTTTATCGCAACTCAAGGCAGTTTACATACAACCTTCCATCCTTCTCCTATTTTCCCTTGTGAGATAGGTTAGGCTGAAAGAGAGTAACAGAAAAACAGAATTGGAAGAGACAGCTTGGTCGTCCTCTAGTTCAACCCACTACTCAAGCAGAAGTTCCTAAACCATTTCAGGCAAATCATTGCCCAATCTCTTCTTAAAGCCCTCCAGTGATGAAGGATCCACAGCTTCTGAAGGCAAGTCATTCCACTGGTTAATTGTTCTCACTATTAGGACATTTCTCCTTAGTTTTAGATTGCTTCTCTCCTTGATCAGTTTCCATCCATTGCTTCTAGTCCTGCCTTCAGGTGCTTTGGAGAATAGCTTGACCTGCTCTTTTTTGTGGCAGCTCCTTAGATATTGGTGTGTGTGTGTGTGTGTGTGTGTGTGTGTGTGTGTGTGTGTGTGAGAGAGAGAGAGAGAGAGAGAGAGAGAGAGAGAGAGAGAGAGAGTCTCTTTCTCTCTCTCTCTGTAGCATGCCAGCAGAGTCAAATTAGGTATTTTCCAAATTTTTGACACACTGAGTCCAAAAAGGTTCAACACCCCTGCATTAGGTTCAGGAAGACAGCTTGAAACTTATGTACATTGTGAATCTGTCTTATGTTTATATATCTCAATTTTATATTTTAAGAAAATGAAAATCATTTTTATCAATCCCTTCCAAGAAAAATATGTCAACGGAGGTAATGAATTTTTGGGAGATGGAAGGGAAGATTATTTAGCTGTTTCTGAAAAGAAACGTAGCTGCCTTTAGTTGGGAAGCAATTGTTAATATGAATTAACTTCTATGATGTAATGACAGAATTCTAAATATATCTTTGAATACTCTGATAAAGGTGGCCTCAGTATAGTTTTGTCTTAAATAACCTCTATGGGGATATCTTATGAATTAAGTTGGCCACACAGAGTTTGTAAGTAAACCAGTGTCATAACCAATTCCTTCAGAGCAAAGAAGCCATCAACTGTACAAAAGATAAAGTTTCCTTCTAGCTGTCCTCAGCTCTTGATAATTTTATAGAAGATTGATTGATCACGTGCCATTAAATCAAGGTTGACTCTTAGTGACCGTATAGATTTTCCCCCACAATGAATTGCTCCTAATTTAGTCCCTCCCCACTCCAGGGGAAGATTAGTGCAAAATCCCCATTTCCTCTCGATCAGCTGAGACTCAGGAGGCAGAGAATAGATGGGGGTGGGGCCAGTCAGAATTTTTACTACCGGTTCTCCGAACTACTCAAAATTTCTGCTACCAGTACTCCAGAACTGGTCAGAACCTGCTGAAACCCACCTCTGATATATACCTATCACTACTGTAACTGAATCCATCCATCTTGTTCCTGGTCATCCTCTTCTTCTCCTTCCTTATAACTTCATAGATAGGTCCATATAAATCAAATCAAATCAATGAATAATCCTTTTCTTTCTTCAGTATGGAAATGCTTTGCTTTGTCTTCTGAGATGCTTTTCTGCTTCCCGGATTAACCTATAGCTCTGACAATTCCTGGTGATTTCCCATTCAAGTACCAACCAAGCTGGATCTGCTTAGCTTCTGAGTCCAGAGAAGGTCAGATGCTGGATTGAAATTATAGATATTTGGATTGATCTAGTGTAAGTGTTTTACTTTTCCCTCTGATTCTCTACCTACTTACATCTTCCCCTTTCAAATTACTAACGTTGGTTGAATTGAGGTCACTATTTTCCCAATCTAGAATGTTTACAGTGCTTTGGTATTTAGTAACTAGCTTCTGGCTCTTGTTTTCTATACATCACTTTGCTGCTTCTGTTCAGAGAAATATTGTAAACTCTCTTAGCTAAACATGGAAGCTATTGGATTCCATAAAGTAGACACTGCCACCTTGTGGAAAATATAGGAAGGACCTAAAGCAGTACAGGTAGGCCTCAAGTTATTATCACAATTGAGCCCAAAATTTCTGTTGTTAAGTGAAACATTTGTTAAGTAAGATTTTCCCCATTTTACGACCTTCCTTGCCACAGTTGTTAAGTGAATCACTGCAATTGTTAAGCAACATGGTTATTAAGTGAATCTGGCTTCCCCATTGATTTTGCTTGTCAGAAGGTTGCAAAAGAGGAACATTTGACCTTGCAACACAGCAATGGTCATAAGTATGAACCAGCTGCTAAGTTTCTGAATTTTGATCACATGATCATGAGGATGCTTCAAAGGTCATAACTGTAAAAAACAGTTGCTTTTTCCAGTGCCGTTATAACTTCAAACAGTCACTAAATGAACTGTTGTAAGTCAAGGACTACCTGTATTTAAATTTCTGTATTATTATTTTAATAACAGTTCATGAATGCAAATAACAGACATATTAAAAAATAATTGTGGTCCTTTGTTGATATTTTCAGGACTATAAAATAGATAAAGTGCTTAAAATCTAATTCATGCCTTTTCAAAAAAATAGCTGAATGTTTATAAATACTAATGTGAAGTTTGACAGATGAAAATAAAATAAAAAGGAAATGGTTTATATATATTCTGAAAAAATTAATATAGTAAAGGTGATATAACTTCTAAAAGCACAGTGCCCAGTTCACAATTGGAAAAGAAAATCTTTAATTATGTGCTTATATGTTCTTTAGTGTGCGCACAGAATTTCAAACATATATAAATGCTGTCATTGTGTGACTTAACATTTAAATTTATACAACATACTAAACCATTGCCACTTACAGAAATGGAAATTTATTTACTTTAGTGAAAAAGACAAGGTTTCAATGTTAAATTTGGAAAACTTCAAAGTTTATAAAGTTCCATCGTGAAATATATCTGAATACTATAGTTAGAAGTTGCATTACTTTAAAAAAAAAAATAAAGGAGTCACAACTTTGTAAATGTATATTTTTGTTGTTCAAATATTCAAGAACAGCACTGTACACTTTAAATGTCTGAAACACTTCCATTGATTAGAGAATAAAAAGTAAAAAAATAATAGATACCATGAACTTGAAATCTACTTATCCATGAGATTTTCCTCAGTAAGGCTACCAGTACCCAGTTCAAGTGCTGCCTTCACACAAGGCACTGATTCACCAAATAGCCAAGCAGATTTTATGTAATGTGTGAAATATCTAGCATCACAATACAGTCAAGCAATTGGATTAATTACCTATAGCAGGGGTGTCAAACTGGTGGCCACTGGTTGGATGCATCACACGCAGGCTACGCCCACCCCAGCTCTGCGGAGACAAAAAAAGTTGCAATATGTCATGTGACATCAATGTGACGTGGTGAGTTTGGCGAGTTTGACACCTGTGCCCTATAGGGTGTTTATTTATGCATGGATAACTGAGGTTGACTCAGTCTTCCATCCTTCTGAAGTTGGTAAAATGAGGACCCAGATTGTTGGGGGCAATATGCTGACTCTGTAAACCGCTTAAAGGTAAAGGTAAAGGTAAAGGTTCCCCTCGCACATACGTGCTAGTCGTTCCCGACTCTAAGGGGTGGTTCTCATCTCCGTTTCAAAGCCAAAGAGCCAGTGCTGTCCGAAGACGTCTCTGTGGTCATGTGGTTGGCATGACTAAACGCCAAAGGCGCACGGAATGCTGTTACCTTCCCACCAAAGGCGGTCCCTATTTTTCTACTTGCATTTTTTACGTGCTTTCAAACTGCTAGGTTGGCAGAAGATGGGACAAGTAACGGGAGCTCACCCCGTTATGCGGCACTAGGGATTTGAACCGCTGAACTGCCAACCTTTCGATCAACAAGCTCAGCGTCTTAGCCACTGAGCCACCGCGTCCCTGTTAACTGCTTAGAGAGGGCTATAAAGCACTCTAAAGTGGTATATAAGTCTAAGTGCTATTGCTATTAGGAAAATTGCCCGGGTGAGAGGATTAAACATTTCCTCTTTATCATTATCTCTAATGAAACTTATCACTAGCTCCCTCCTCACAACATAGTCAGGGGCGTCCTCTGTGAATACCATTAGGAGGAGAGAGGGAAAAAGTTAGATCTGTCCCATGATCTTAAGTATTAATAATCTTCTGGTGGAAAAAGTGAGTTTGAAACAGAACAACCTGTTTAGGTTTGGAACTGCCCACGTTTGAATGATGTGAATTTCCTGAAGAGGCAACTTTTTAAAGTTGGTGGGTGACTTTAGTTTCTATTGATATTCCAGTGGTAGGTGGGGGTGACTTGGTCATCTGGAGATGTCAAAAGAGAGGACAACATGTTGTCTGAATCATTCCACCTGGGGAGGTCTCTCTGTGATCAAATGGGTTGGATGAGTCATTCATTAAGCCACATTGTGTGGGTTTAAGAACAGCAGAAGAGAGGACTTTTCCCCCTTGAAAATCTAACCACAAGACAAATATGACTTGGCAATGGACCATACTTTTCTTCTGTCCTGCTGCTCTCCATGACGTTGCCTTCACCTTGTCCTCAAGCCTGTCGGTGAAACAGGCTTAAGTCATGCTTAGCTCTATTGGTGTTGAACAAATATTTTCCTCCTTATTGTGACACGGTCAAGGTATGTATAATCTATTGCTAGAGGGGAAAGTGAACTGACTGCCATGGCTTCAAACAGGGTCTGTTGAAGCAGGTTATCTGAGGCAGAAGCCGATCTTTATTCTTTCAACAATGAGAACAACCAATGTTATGTTGTGCAGTTTCGGTCAATAGAAGGAGGGCTGGAGAACATGTCTCCTCAGGAATCTCTTTAGGGCTTTAAATGTGTCTCTCTAGGGCTTTAAACCCTTGCCAGTGACAATGTTAGAGAAACAAGATAAATTGGGTCAGTTTATATGGATACAATAAAGCCATATTTGTGGGATTGTCTCATCCCATTGGATTGGCCTGCCCCACCTGTGCTGGCTGAGGAGGCATGCTGATGGCCCCATCAGCCACGGTATTCTAGCAGGAGGGGTCCAGGAGAAGAGCTTTCTCTGCCATTGCTCCTACCCTTTGGAACATTTTATCCCTTGGAAAGAGGTTGGCTTCAACCCTCCTGACAATTGCTTAAAGACCTGCCTCTACCAGCTGGCTTGGGGCTCCAGTGAATCTTCACATTGGGAGCAAT